CTTCTGGAAGCGATGGCCACAAGAAGTAGAGGTCGTGTCCTATAATTTCGATGTCACTAAAGGACCCGTTTGTGTCAAATGGTTAGATGGATGTCAAACCAATATGTCTTACAATGTCTTGGATTTGATTATTAATAAAGGACTCGGAGATCGTGTCGCCTATTATTGGTTAGTGTTTTACAAATTGTAGTTTTATAAATGCAATTAAACCTCTTATTTGAGAAATATTGGCATTAGATTTAAGAAACTAAACTTAAATTATATATAAATATTTTTTAACCAAATAGATCTTAGGTGATTAATTTTATTCAGCTTTAATCATTAATAATTATAATACAATATACAGTATTTGTATTTGTAGTATAGATAAAATGTAAATATTTTGTGTTTTAATAAAATTATGATTCACCTAAGATCCTTTTGGTTAAAAAATATTCATATGATTTATAACAATAAGACTTTTAATTATTTGTTATGTTATTTTATTAATTTATATTAATTAATTCACAGTAATTAGTAATTCCCGGATGTTTCAGAGTAACAGTAACAATAAGCTTTAGAATTATATGAGTACACAAAACTATACCAGAAGTCAGTCTCAGATCCCGAAGGCTTTTGGATGGAAATCGCGAATCACTTCTTCTGGAAGCGATGGCCACAAGAAGTAGAGGTCGTGTCCTATAATTTCGATGTGACTAAAGGACCCGTTTGTGTCAAATGGTTAGATGGATGTCAAACCAATATGTCTTACAATGTCTTGGATTTGTGCGTCAATAAAGGACTCGGAGATCGTGTCGCCTATTATTGGTTAGTGTTTTACAAATTGTAGTTTTATAAATGCAATTAAACCTCTTATTTGAGAAATATTGGCATTAGATTTAAGAAACTAAACTTAAATTATATATTATGATTTATAACAATAAGACTTTTAATTATTTGTTATGTTATTTTATTAATTTATATTAATTAATTCACAGTAATTAGTAATTCCCGGATGTTTCAGAGTAACAGTAACAATAAGCTTTAGAATTAGTTTCGGGGTGAATTTTATGTAAAGGGAAACGTTAGTGAAACTCGACTGTGCCTATCGTGTAGAGCATTAAAGAGTATGATAGGAAAAAATTCTATATTGAAATTTTTGAGATAATGACCAAAAACAGAAAATTTATAAATTCAAAAATTGGGCTCAATATTGGTGAAACTTTTCAAATATGACCTGTATAACATTATATAGATCATTTTGTATAAGCTTATTGTTTCGGCGATTACACTCAATATAAATTAAAGTATTGATAATATCTGTGATATAAAAACTATTAATACTTTACTGTATAAGGTGTAAAAATTTAAAGAAATACTTCAGAAAATTTAATTATTTATTAAATGGATTTGTTTAATAATTAGCCTTAAGGTATAAAATACTTATAATAATTGACTAATTTTATTATGATGCCTCAAATATATTCTTACGCATTTAAACAAGGTGATTCTAATTAAATAAATAATTATAATTATTTTTGAAATTATCTTAATTGCTTTAAAAATATTTGAATCAATTATATATTTTGCACTGTATAATTATTTCAATGTCAGCTACAGTAATAATTATTTAACTAATACAGTAGTAGTTATAAATATTATCATTATAGTTTTATTAATTATAATTTTGTGATTGGTTTAAAAATTAATTTTTCTAATAATTTATTTATTCCGATGAAAACAGTGTCGATGTATTAAAAATTAAAATACAAGTCATTTAATTGATGATCATATGATAAAAATATAATGCTATAAAAATTATTTGAAACCTAAAACATAACTACTAGTTAATAATTTAATCATTAATACGTAAAATAGTATCCTGAAGTAAAGTAAATATGGATATTATGATAATTTTATTGTTTTTTAGTACAGCCATGATAAGAATTGCATAAATAGTTATAACCAAGATAATTAAAGCAGCACTTTTTCTCCTAAGCAATTGGTTTGCTTTATATGACTTTTCTTAATTTTGAATCAATTGTCATAGATGAAATAGTGTTACCTTGATCAATTAAGAAATTATAATATTCTTTTATTACAAAATAATAGGGAATCCAATGATGATAAATCACACAAACAAATCACTTACAATGAGTTACTGCGCGATGTCTGCAAATTTGCAAATGTGTTGAAAGGGTTGGGCATTAAAAGGGGTGATAGAGTGGCCGTATATATGTCGGTAACCATAGAGTTGGTCACTGTTATGCTGGCCTGCGCTCGCATCGGTGCCATTCACTCTGTCATTGTATGTACAGTATATTCACAAAAATTATATCATAAGTTTAATTTCTATATTGTAAGTTTAATGTGATAACTATATCATCATTTAAATAGTTCGCCGGATTCTCGGCCGAAGCTCTGGCCGACCGTATAATAGACGCCAATTGTGTAGTATTAGTGACTTCTGACGGCGCCTTTCGGGCCAACAAATTCATACCATTGAAATCAATCGCCGACTCAGCACTCAATCTATGCCAACGAATGTATGTTTTTATTGCCATTGAATAAAAAAAAACAATTAACATCTACTTTCATGTGAAGGAAACACAAAGTGATGGCCTGTATTGTGAACCCACACCTGAATCTCAATAGAAATAACGTAAAGGATGTCAATAATAATTGCATTAATGATAATTCAGGGATTAATTGGAACCCAAATGTGGACATCCTATGGACTGATGTAATGGCAAATGCTTGCGATTATTGCGAACCCGAATGGATGGAGGCTGAAGACCCACTGTTCATACTTTATACCAGGTCTGTATTTTAATTGTAACTATTTTAATAGCCAATTCTTTTGAGTTTATGATACACACATTATCACACATAAATATTTGTTAAGCATAAAGTGTTTAATATACTGTATGAACATTGTTTAGAAAATAATATAAAATACATTATTCGCATTATTACACTATAACAAGTTGCACTATACCCTAACCATTAAGTTTAATTAATATGTGGATTCCACCTAGGGCCAGTCTGGGTCTATGCTTTATTTTAACTCTAGTTGTATTTGTTTAATAACTTTATAAGTTATGGAAATATTTGTAAAATCGTATAATTTATTAGATGTTTATTTCATTACCAAATTAATGTAAATTTTTTTTAATTTAGTAAATTATGATTTAAGGAAATATTATCATTAAATTTAAGTTTTAATCGTAAAAAAACCCACAAAAAACAAATCTAATTATTTTATTTCATTAAAATCATAAATTTTAATATTAAAATTTATTTAACCACTAATTAACAGCTTTTTGTTTTTTAATTGTTTTTTACACAACATTTTATGCATTAAATGTCAATTTAATATTTATTACGTGATTAACGAATTCTTAATCAAAACATAGCTTAAAGACTATTACATATTAATTAATGCAATAACCAATGAATATGATTAAAAATTACAACACAAACAAAACAATAAAATTAAAACCAACACAAAATAATTAACGCAAAACACAATTTACCGCACATTTTAGTGGAAGTACGGGAAAGCCTAAAGGGATTGTCCACACAATCGGCGGTTATCTCCTCTACTCTTACATAACATTCAAATATGTCTTCAATTACACCGACGGAGACGTGTTTTTCTCGACGGCCGACTTGGGATGGATGGCCGCCCACACGTTCAACGTTTACGGAGCGCTCGCCAACGGGTGCTCTGTTGTGCTCTTTGAGGGCACTCCCGTCTACCCAAACCCGGGCCGACTCTGGCATATAATCGATAGACTCGGCGTTAATATCTTTTATACGGCGCCGACTACTATACGATCCCTAATGAGATTTGGCGACCAATACGTCAAACAATACAGTCGACAGTCGCTGAAAGTGTTGGGAACTGCCGGCGAACCCATTAATCCCGAGGCCTGGCAGTGGTTTTGGGATGTGGTCGGCGATCGTCGGTGTCCTGTCGTTGACAACTACTGGCAAACAGAGACTGTATGTCATTTTATTTGAATTTATTGCATAATTAATTTTAATTTTGTTTTTGAAAAAGTAAAAGTATTACAAATCAAATATACCTGTAATTAAATTTTTGATGACATATTTAAAAGCATAAATTATTAACGTGATAAACTTATAGATAAATAATTAATCGATGTACAAGTTTTTGTTACTTTAAATAGCGTTGATGACACTAAACATTAATTAAATATTTTTATTTAATTAATTATTCTTAATCAAAAATAGGTTTTACAATTAATGCATATTAAATAATATAATAATTAGCAAACATCATTAGAAATACTGTCAGTTTTATTTAAAATTAAAAATACATCGTTCATGTCATGTGATTGACAACTAGAGACTTATGTGATATTTACTTAAATTCATTTTACAACTAATTAATATTAATTAATATCAACGAATAGGGGGGCCCAATGATTACGTGTTTACCCGGTGCTACACCTATGAAGCCCGGATCGGCTACCCTTCCCTTCTTCGGTGTTATACCGGCGATACTGGACTCCGAGGGCAGAGAACTGGAGGGCCCGGCTGTGGGACAGTTGGTGTTTAAGAAGCCTGCCATCGCTTCCAGAAGAAGTGATTCGCGATTTCCATCCAAAAGCCTTCGGGATCTGAGACTGACTTCTGGTATAGTTTTGTGTACTCATCGATGGACGAGATGTGAGCCGTCGAGCGGTACTCTTCCGACGCATAATAGACACCATCGCTGGGGTTGTCGTCGATAGCCATCGCATACACCGGGCGAACAGACACTGACTTTTAAAACCCTATTAAATCCGTTCACAATATTATTATTAATAATTTCCTACAATATTAGCAAAATTCACATCAATTGAGACAAACGCTTAATGAATCAAATGTTTCTCAGAAAAGTTTTAGACTTAAAAATAATAAATTTAAAAAAAAATGCATGTATTAGTTATTAATTTTAATGTTAGCGCAGTTATCAGCCAATCATAAATTAGCTTACTCTTTCTATCACGTATGAAGTAGTTGTTGCCTATTATGAAATCATATATTATACAGTATTTTTACCTCAATTACTAAGAATAAGACAGAAAAATATTATATTATTATTACAACAAAACACTTTTCACATAAACATTTCGTATAAAACATAAGCAATCATTTATGAGTACATTAAACGATATAAATCAATATCAACAGTAAACGTGATAATCAAGTAATTAAAAACAAATCACTGATTAATATATAATAACTCATTGAGAAAGCGTGTAATTATTGAACAATGAGAGTGAGCTGTGTTTGAGAGAGAGAGAGAGAGAGAGAGAGAGAGAGAGAGAGAGATATAAGTAAAACCAACTGTAAGTATTAATTATAACAACATAAATGAAAATGTTAATAAACTAAATGTTGACTTTCACTTTCTATGTCAAGTTTTTATTCATTTACATTATTGCGGGTGAATTTCATTATAGATTTTGCTAATGTATTTCAGTAATAGATTTTTAGTAGTATTTTATTGAAAAAATTGAATTAAATTTTAATGAACATAAAAAATCGTCAGATTTTTGGTACATAACCTAACGAATATTATTTAGGGTTAATTTAAACTTGAATTTACCTTATTCACTGCTGGCATATACAGTACTTTAATTAAGTATACCTTATGTTTAACAAATAAAATTGTATTTTGTAATCAATACGTGATTGATATTTATTGTTTTTATCGTTTTATTATTTATTCATTTTTAATTAGATATTATCGACATAAACAAAGTTGATTGATAAAAATATGATTTTAATAATTATTATATAATCAATAATTTTTCCTAAACCACCAAAATTTATTTCATAAGCAATTTTATTTTTACTAATCAAAAATAATATAAAATAACAAAATTCATGTTTTATAACATACATATACAAACATGTTCAATTTCTAAGCTAGTAATCGGATTATAATACTACTGTATAAGACATATAATAACTACTAATTATTATTACATAATAGAAATATTTTTTTTAACTAAATCAAACTTTCCCTAAAAACATTTTGACGTGTCTTTAATTTTAATTATTTTAACAGGAGTGAATTTAACCTAGCGTATATTGTTACCTTATGTAACATATCAATCTAAAACTGACAAGGTTAGTCTAATTAATAATATGATATGATATGTAATTAAATATATAAGTTTTGTGATCACAAGGAAATAGGTTTAACATTAAATATTGACAGAAATAAACATGAATTGAAAAAATGGAAAGTTTTCGTGCAATGAAAACAAATGTACAAAAACATCACCTAAAAAATAGTAGCTAACAAGTAAGAAATTTTTATCATAAGCAGTTCATATGAATTTGACTAATTTATCAATAATTATATTAATAATAATATTATATAAAAATATTTTGTTTTGTTATCATTTGTATTTTATAAAATCCCGATTAATTGTTGTAATTGTATCAATTTTTATAACTAAATTACATTAATTATTTGTTATATTGAATAACATTTTATTTTGCTTTAGTAATATAATAATCAAAATCCTATTATATTATTATAATACTTAAGGTCAGTTTATTTAACGAACTAGTTCATTAACAATTGATAACATTTTGGAATAAATTTATTATTTAAATAATATAATAATGTTATATAATAGAAACTAGTTGCTAAAATGTACACGCTTAAGCTAGCTTAGTTTTAGTTATTTAGTGTAATTTTATTCATTTTACATTTTACTCTAGCTATTGATTATTGTATAATTAAATACAAATCAATCATTGTTATTCATAATGAATGTAGAGCAATTTATGTTATTAATAGCAATTTTAAAGTAAACTTATTATTTGATATATAAACTCGAGAG